GACTGATATTAAACAGAGTAGTAATCATGCACTTGAGATCATTTGAGGGGCACACAGAATATCCACCTACCCCCAAAACTCACCCTATATTAGTCTGTTCTCACACTGCTATAAAGAACTGCCCGAGACTGGGTAATTTATGAAGAAAAGAGGTTTAATTGACTCACAGTTCTGCAGGCTATACAGGAAGCATGGTTGGGAACCCTCAGGAAACTTACAATCGTGGAGGAAGGGCGAAGGGGAAGCAGGCATAGCTTCATATGGTGGCAGGAGAAAGAGAATGAAGGGGGAAGTGCTGTACACTTTTTTTTTTTTTGTCTTTTCAAACCAGAAACCTTAAGTTGACCACTCTTAATGAATTTTGGTCTCTCTTTTAAGCGCTCTTCTTGAAAATGTTATCCTACTGCTGAGAAGTTCAAGTTTGAGAAGTACAAGGAGGAACAGAAACTTGAGGGATTTTCTTTTTCTTTTTCTTTTTTTTAATGAAAGAAAGAGAAAGAGAAAGAACAGGAGTCTAGCTCTATTGCCCAGGCTGGAATGCAATCTAAAAATAGGTATTAAAAACCTCTTTTATGACGATAATTGTGCTTAACAGCAGAGACAGGAAGGAATAAGGAAAGAAAATAACAAACGGCCAACCGATATTTCATTTAAATCTGTGAAATGCTATGCAAATGCTGAAGAGTGATTTGCTTCCATTTATGTGATCAGTTTCAAAATAGGTGTAATGTGATACTAAAAAAAATGTATGTTCTGTGGACCTGGGGTGAAGAATTCTATAAATAGTCACTAAGTTTACTTGTTCCAAGTCTGAGTTCAAATCACAGATGTCCCTGCTAATTTTCTATCTCGTTGATCCATCAAATATTAACAATGTGGTGTCAAAGTCTCCCGTTATTATTGTGCAGGAGTCCAAGTCTGTTTATAAGTCACTGAAAACTTGTCTTATGTATCTGGGTGCTTTTATATTGGGTGCATATATATTTATGATCATTGACTCCTATTGTTGCATTGATCCTTTTACCATTATGTAATGTCCTTCTTTGTTTCTTTTAGTCTTTGTTACTATTAAAGTCTATTTTGTCAGAGACGAAAGTTAAACTCCTGTTTTTTTTTCTCTCCATTTGATTGGTGAGTCTTCCTCCAACCTTTTGTTTTGAGTCTTTGTGTGTCCTTGCTTATGAGATGAATCTGGATAAAGCATGCTGATGTGTTTTGACTTTTTATTCAGTTGGCGTGTCTGTGTCTTTGTTTGGGGCAATTAATCCATTTAAATTTAGGATTAACATTGATATTTGTGGTTTAATATTGTCATTTAATGCTAGTTGGCTATTTTGCCCATTAGTTGATATAGATTCTTCAGTATGAAGATACTCTTTACCTTTCGGTAAGTTTTTGGGATGACTGATACTAGTTGTTCCTTTCTGTGTGTAATGCTTCTTTCAGAAGCTCTTGTAAAGCAGGCCTGGTGGTGATGAAATCTCTGAGTGCTTGCTTGTTCACGAAATATTTTATTTTTCCTTCATTTATGAAGCTTAGTTTGGCTGGATATGAGATTCTGGGTTGAAAATTCTTTTCTTTGAGGATATTGAATATTGACCCCCACTCTCTTCTAGTTTGTAGGGTTTCTGCTGAGAGATCTGCTGTAAGTCTGATAGGCTTCCCTTTATGGATAATCTGACCTTTCTCACTAGCTGCCCTTAGAATTTTCTCCTTTATTTCAACCCTGGTGAATCTAACGATTATGTGTCTTGAGGTTGCTCTACTTGAGGAACATCTTTGTGGTGTTCTCTGTATTACCTGGAGTTGAGTATTGTCCTGCCTTACTAGGTTAGGAAAGTTTTCCTGAATAATATCCTGAAGAATATTTTCCAGCTTGGATTCATTCTCTTCATGACATTCAGGTACACCTATCAAACGTAAATTAGGTCTTTTCACATAGTCCCATATTTCTTAGAGACTTTGCTCATTCCTTTTTACTCTTTCTTCTCTAATCTTGTCTTCTCATTTCATTTCATTAAGTTTGTCTTCAACCTCTGATATCCTTTCTTCTGCTTGATCAATTCGAGTGTTAAAATCTGTGCATACTTCATGGAGTTCTCGTATTGTATTCTTCAGCTCCATTAATTCACTTATATTCTTCTCTAAATTGTCTATTCTTGTTAGGATTTCATCAAACCTTTTTTCAAGGTTCTTAGTTTCTTTACATTGGGCTAGAACATGTTCTTTTAACTCACAGAAGTTTCTTATTATCCACCTTCTGAAGCCCAATTCTGTTATTGGAATGCACTTGTTCTCTATCAGGACTTGTTGATGAGGAACTATGATCCCCTGTAGAGGGAGAGGCATTCTGATTTTGGGTATTCTCAGCCTTTTCACGCTGGTTTCTTCCCATCATTGTAAATTTGCCCACCTGTCGTCTTTGTAATTACCGACTTTCAAATTAGGTTGCTGAGTGGACGTCCAACTTGTTGATTCCCAGAGCCGAAATCTGAGCAACCCACTGCGCCAGCTAAAACAGCAGCATCAAGATTCTTGGTGCTTTTCTGCCCGGGGAATCTCCGGTCTGGCTTCCCTCCTGAATCCCTTCTTCAATCAGCTGAATTGGCGACTGTACCTTCCCGGAGCTCCAAACATCAACCAAAAGGGGACCCAGTCCCGTTTACTCTGCACCAAGAACTGCTGCGCCAGCCACAAGAGTTGCACCCGTGGGGCTCCTCCGCTGGGAATCTCCTGGTCCGTGAGCAACAAAAATTCGTCCGAAAGTGTGGCATCTTCTCATTCTCTGCGCTTTCACTGGGAGCTACAATCCTGAGCTGCTAGTGATCGGCTATCTTGGATCTCTCTCCCCGGGATCTGCTGTACACTTTTAATGTACAATCAGGTCTCATGAGAATTCATTCACTATCACAAGACAGCAAAGGGGAAGTCCACCCCCATGATCCAGTCACCTCTCACCAGGCCCCTCCTGTAATACATGGGAATTATAATTCAACATGAGATTTGGGTGGGGACACAGAGTCACACCCTTAGCTCTTTCATTGTGCCTGGGATTTCCACTATTCCAACTGCTCCTAGAGGTCCCTGGGAAATGTGATTCGTCAACTTAAACTCAACCACAGCTGTTCAGAGCCTATTGTATGTAATCCACTGTAGGGGAAAGATCTATAAACATTTTTCTTATACTTTACATGATGCTTTTATACGGCTAATTTCATCATTGCAACAACTCTGTGAGGCAGGCATTTATGATGACTCCTATTTTGCAGAGGAAGAAACACAGGCCCAGAGAGGTTAAGGGGCTTATTGGGAGACTAAGCAGATATTAACTGGCAGGGCTAGAAGGCAAATCTGAAAACTCCAAATTCTTGGTGTTTTCTTGTTCATCTCAGCTGCTCTCGGGGTTTACAGGAAACAGACAACTCAGCCAATCAAGAAATGGTCGAGGGCTTTCAAACCTGGTTCTCTGATATTCCCCTGAGGTCTCCTGGGTGCTGAGAGGTGGGAGAGGACAGTGTGTGTGGCACTAGGCCTTGGGCTCCCTGACACACTTTGGCTGGATCTCCTCTTTCTTCTGCCTTTAGAGGTAAAAGTGTTCGATATTTCAGGGGAGATAATACAACAGTAAAACCAAACAAGAATTTCTTGAGTATCTATTGTGCATTCAGCCTGGAGTCGGAGGAGGAAGGTAGCTTCAGGCAGTGTAAGAGGAGCTTACAAAACATCCCACATGTGAAAACTTGAAGACTGATAAGAAGTTAAATAATGGCTCAATATAGCAACAGAAGAGCTGTCCCATGGCTGCATCTGGTTCCCTAATTAATGACTTCGGCAGTGACTTGGGTGGCCAAGAGAGAGCCAGGAAGTGCTGAGCTGAGTAACCCAGCCCCACCCATGATCAGCAACAGGGCGCAGGAGCCCGGAGCGATGAAACCTGGGTTGGACAAGTTTTGACAGAGAGAAGACACTCAGGAAGGGCCTCAGTGGGAGGTGGTGAGGGTGGGTTGGGTGTAGTATCACAGCAACCAGCCTCTGTAGAAAGGGCAACACCAAAGCCTGGTTTTTGTCCACAGCCACTGCAGGGCTGCACGCTGCAGATGATGACTCACCCTTGCTAAGGGGCTCCCTATCCCTATCCCTGTCTGAAACGGTTTGGATTTGTGTCCCCACCCAAATCTGTTGATTTTTTTTTTTTTTTTTTGAGACAGATTCTTGCTCTGTCACCAGGCTGGAGTGCAATGGTGCAATCTCAGCTCACTGCAACCCCTGCCTCCCAGATTCAAGCGATGCCCATGCCTCAGCCTCCCAAGCAGCTGGGACTACAGGTGTGCACCACCACGCCTGGCTAATTTTTTTGTATTTTAGTAGATACGGTGTCATCATATTGGCCAGGATAGTCTCGATCTCCTGACCTTGTGATTTGCCCACCTCAGCCTCCCAAAGTGCTGGGATTACAGGCGTGAACCACCGCACCTGGCAAATCTGTTGAATTTAATCCCCAGTGTTTGGAGGAGGGGTCTGGTGGGGCATGACTGAATTGGGGGGCAGATTTCTTTGCTGTTCTCACGAGTGAGTTCTCACCAGATCTGGTTGTTTAAAAGTGTGCAGCACCTTCCCCTTCACTCTATTCCTCCTTCTCTGGCCATATAAGACGTGCCTGCTTCCCCTTCCCCTTCCCCCATGATTGTAAGTTTCCCAAGGCCTCACCAGCCATGCCTTCTGTACAGCCTGGGGAACTGTGACTCAATTAAACCTCTTTTCTTTACAAATTACCCAGTCTCCAGACTGGGTGTGGTGGCTCGCGCCTGTAATCCCAGCACTTTGGGAGGCCAAGGCTAGCGGATCACCTGAGGTTGAGAGTTCAAAACCAGTCTGACCAACATGGAGAAGCCCCGTCTCTACTAAAAATACAAAATTAGCTGGGCATGGTGGCAGATGCCTGTAATCCTAGCTACTCAGGAGTCTGAGGCAAGAGAATCGCTTGAACCAGAGAGGTGGAGGTTGCAATGAGCCGAGATCATTCCGTTGCACTCCAGCCTTGGCAACAAAAGGGAAACTCTGACTCAATGAACAAATAAATAAATAAATAGCCAACCCAGTCTCAGGTAGTTCTCTATAACAATGCAAAAGTGGACAAACACACTGCCTCCTTCACCCCATTGGGTCCCCCTTCTGCCCACTGGCACATGGGACTCTGCTGGGCAGAGGTTATGCCATGAAAGCTCCAGCAGGCTGAGATGACATTCCAGCCTTGCCCCTCTGTAACTGAAATACGTGGATAATAATAACAACCACCTTACAGGGCTGCTTGGATAGTGAACTAGATCATGCACATAAAGAGCCTGGCACCATTAGTTCCTGGCACATGCAAGTTCTCAATAAATGTTGTTGGCTATTATCTGCAGCTACATTCAACATGGGCAGGCTGGGAGCAGAGCTCTTCTTGGCTGTAATTCACTCATTTAACAAGCATTTAATGAGCACCTATTCTGTGCCAGGCACTGCACTGGGAGCTGAGGCCAGAGATTGAAAAGTTCATTTTCTTTAAGTAGCTCCCAGTCTACTGGGAAAGCAGAAGTGTGAACCATTCCTATTCTGTGTGAGTGCTGAAACGTCTGCTTGGTAATAATGATTAATAGTTAACGTGTTGAGTACTTGCCACGTGCCAGTTATGAAGCGCTTTGTAGGTATTATCACCTCATTTGATCCTTCCGAGGTAAGACTTGATCCTCCATTTTACAGATGGGGAAACTGAGGCTCTGGAAGGCTCTGAATGGGTAGCAAGTCTGGGTTTCCAATCAAGGATGGAGGACAGTTCACCAGGAGGCAAAGGTACCGCAAGCTCCACACCTTGAGGGTTTGAGAGATCATATAGAAACATAAAATCCTTGAACTATGAGTCCCTGGCAGGTAACCCATGCCAGAAAGCAAAGTCACCAGGAGTGAGTAAGAAGCTGACTCAGAAGTTCTAGCCTCACGTGTGATCGGTTTTAAGCATTTGACATTTATAGGTGACTTAATATTTGTCTATCTTGACTGGGCGCGGTGGTTCATGCCCGTAATCCCAGCACTTTGGGAGGCCAAGGTCAGCAGATCACTTGAGGCCAGGAGTTCAAGACCAGCCTGGCCAACAGGGCAAAACACGGTCTCTACTAAAAATACAAAAATTAGCTGGGTGTCACGGCACACACCTGTGATCCCAGCTACTTGGGAGGCTGAGGCAGGAGAATTGCTTGAACCTGGGAGGCAGCAGTCGCAGTGAGCCAAGATCACACCACTGCACTCCAACAGAGTGAGACTCTGTCTCAAAAAAAAAAAAAAGTTGTGGATCCTAAAGTTAGGTTTAGGATTAGAATTACATTTGGCTTTGGGTGTATGCCTGGTGCAAAGTCAGGGACTCAGATATTAGCTATTATTTATAATTACAGCAGTCCTTGCTTTTGCCTGGTATGGATGTGCATGAATTTCAGTTACCACGTTTAAGAAATAACACAAGTCCCCTAAAATGTGGTTCATATTTCACTTTCCACAGTATATCGAGTGTGAATAATTGCATCAAGTGCAAACTTTGCTGTTAGCTGGTCAGTCCACAAATCACCATGTAAATAACAGACGCGTATCATGATCAGCAACAATCACGTCACTTCTTTCAAAGCCTGCTGGTGTCTGGTCACCACGCGTCTGTTATTCAGTTCACACACAGTTAAGTGTGCAGCTGCGTTGCCTCCTTCTCTCTGGGTAATAACTCACTTGACATTTTTCATAAATGGATAGTAAAACAAAGGGATTAGCTAACAAAGATGAAAGTGCAGGCTGGGGCATGGTGGCTCACACCTGTGACCTCAGCACTTTGGGAGGCTGAGATGGGCAGATCAGTTGAGGTCAGGAGTTTGAGACTCACCTGGCCAACATGGTGAAACCTTATCTCTACTAAAAATATAAAAACTAGCTGGGCATGATGACAGGCACCTGTAATCCCAGCTACTTGGGAACTTGAGGCAGGAGAACCTGCATGACCCTGGGAGGTGGAGATTGTAGTGAGCTGAGATCATGCTACTGCACTCCAGCCTGGGAGAGAGTGAGGCTCTGCTTCAAAAAACAGGCAAGCAAACAAACAAAACCGATAGATAGCTATACTGATTGGCTCACAAAATATGCAAAGTAGTCTTTACCTATTAAGACCTTCAACTGCGAGGTGCAGTAGCTCATGCCTGTAATCCCAGAACTTTTGGAGGCAGAGGCAGATGGATCACCGAGGTCAGGAGTTCAAGACCAGCCTGGCCAAACTGGTGAAATGCTGTCTCTACTAAAAATACAAAAATTAGCTGGGCGTGGTGGCAGGCACCTGTAATCCCAGCTACTCAGGAAGCTGAGGCAGGAGAATCACTTGAACCTGGGATGCAGAGGTTGCAGTGAGCTGAGATCGCGCCACTGCCGTCCAGCCTGGGCGACAGAGCAAGACTCTGTCTCAAAAAACAAAAAAGACTTTAACTGATTGACTAAGGCCCACCACATAATAGAGGGCCATCTGCTTTACTCAAAGTCTACTGATTTAAGTGTTCATCTTATCAAAAAAATATCTTCGCAGGAAACATCCACAATAATGTTTAACCAATGATCTGCCACCATGGCCCTGCCCAAGTTCACACATAAAATTCACCATCCCAGGGGTATAGAAGAAATAGATGAGGGAAGTCGTTGTAAGGAAAAGGATGAAGCCCATCTAGAGGAACTGAGGCTAGCAGGGACTCTAGCGGACATTTCACAACCTTGAAAGTTAAAAGGATACAATTTTGGAAACTGATCCAGTCTTAGAAAGGAATACAACGATTCGTCAAGACATAGAACAAGATGCTTCCTCTGTATCAGTAGTTAAACAAGAAGCTGGCAAGCATGGTTCAGGCTATTCTTGATAGTTCTTTTTTTTTTTTTTTGAGATGGAGTTTCATTCTTGTTGCCTAGGCTGGAGTGCGGTGGTTCAATCTCGGCTCACTGCCACCTCTGCCTTCTAGGTTCAAGCGATTCTTCTGCCTCAGCCTGCTGAGTAGCTGGGATTACAGGCATGTGCCACCACGCCCAGCTAATTTTTGTATTTGTAGTAGAGATGGGGTTTCTCCATGTTGGTCAGGCTGGTCTTGAACTCCCAATCTCAGGTGATCCACCAGCCTCGGCCTCCCAAAGTGCTTCAGTTACAGGCATGCCACCACGCCTGGCCTTTGGATAGTTTTTACACACAGAAATACAACACACACACACATATTTTTTCTTAGGGTCTCACTCCCCTCCCCTAGGCTGGAATGTAGTGGCATGACCATAGCTCACTACAGCCTCAACCTCCTGGGCTCAAGTGATCTTCCCACTTCAGCCTCCTTGGTGGCTGGGACTACAGGCATGCACTGTCATGCCTGGCTAGTGTTTTATAGAGACAGGTTTTACTATGCTGCTCAGGCTCGTCTCAAGCTCCTGAGCTCAAGTCATTCTTCCTTCTTGGCCTCCCCAAGTGTTGGGATTACAGGCACGAGCCATTGCTCCCAACCTACAGTTATATCTTCAGTGTTTCTGATGTTCTAAATTAAAGGATAAGAAAGAAATGTTAGTTTTACCTATTTTTTCATTTCCTTAAACATTTAAAACCAACAGTAAGGAGTTTTAGTGTTTTGACAGAAGCTTGTTAAAGGTCACAGAATCATCTTATTTTATCCTGTTGGTGATTGACACTGTTTTGTACAATTTCAGTTTGCACGGCCATTCTCACGGTCCACATGAATGTGAATGTGCTGAGATTGGCTGTGTTATTTGTATCATCATCATCATCATCATGCTCTCTACCAGGCAAGTGGGGCAAACACCCCGGATGCCAGGCCAGCGGTTAATCTCTTTGTGACTCCCTTTTCTTTTTCTTTTCCTTTTTTTTTTTTTTTTGAGACAGAGTCTCGCTCTGTTAGCCAGGCTGGAGTGCAGTGGTACAATCTCGGCTCACTGCTATCTTCTCCTTCCAGGTTCAAGCGATTCTCCTGCCTCCGTCTCCCAAGTAGCTGGGATTACAGGCACATGCCACCACACCCAGCTAATTTTTGTTTCTTCAGTAGAGATGGGGTTTCATCATATTGGCCAGGCTGGTCTTGAACTCCTGACCCCAGGTGATCCACTCGGCCTCCCAAAGTACTGGGATTACAGGCGTGAGCCACTGCACCTGCTCCCCCTTTTCTGATTCTAGGCCAAAGGGCACCTGCAAAGTCCCAGGCCAAGGCCCTCTCAGCCCTGGCCAACATTGTCCTCTCGCTGCAGGGGCTGGGATTCTCTACAGTCCCAGGAAGCTTTCAAAGAGGAGCGCTCAGCTTACAACCAATAAAAATAACTCAGGGGTGATAAACAGTCCCAGGTCTCCAGGGATGTTCTTATGCAATCTGCCTTGATTTCACAAGCCCTACATGGCGCTGTCAGCAGAGGCAGACTGAGATGCACGTCCTGGCTGACACCACAGGGCAAGGCCCCTCTGACTGCAATGACTGGGAACAGTGACTTTGGCTGTGACATGAGGTGGCTCATTTACAACAGAAGACATGTAAAAATAGCGCAGCTGATCAATTGGTTGGTTTAAATATATGGTATTTCTTCTTCTTTTCAGGCAAAATATATGAATAATGGATGTTCTCAGTAGAAAATACAGAATATGCATAGGCCAAAAGGAAAAAATAAAAACTACCTGTTGGGCATGATGGCTCACGCCTGTGATCCTGAGATTTTGGGAGGCCATAGTGGGAGGATTGCTTGAGTCCAGAGGTTTGAGGCCAGACTGGGCAATATAGGGAGACTTCATCTCTACAAAAAACAAAAAAATTAGCCGAGTGTGGTGGTGCACACCTATGGTCCCAGCTACTTGAGAGGCTGAGCCTAGAGGATCGCTTGAACCTGGTAGGTCGAAGCTGCAGTGAGCTATGATTGTGCCACTGCCCTCCAGCTTGGGCAACAGAGCAAGACCCTGTCTCTAAATACAATAAAATAAAAACTACCCATAGTCCAGCTACTGAGAGAGCATTGCTGTTACCCTCAGTCTTTGAGGCTTTTCTAGAAGCCCAAAGCATGTGATGCAGAGCTTCGGTCTGCAAACTCTGATGCCAGACCTCCTGAGTTCCACTCCTGGGTTGCTTAACTTCTCTTCCACGGTCTTCCCATCAGTAAAATGGGAATAACAATAGCAGCCCCTGTATCACTTTGTTGCACGGTTAGGGAATTTTTCTTTTTGCTATGAAAGAGATCAAGAGGAAGAGCCTCGTGGTTAAGTCTTTGTGTACATTCTTTTCTTTTTCTTTGTTCTTCTCTTTTGCAATGGCATCTCACTCTGTTGCCCAGGCTGGCATGCGAAGGCGCCATCATGCTTTACTGCAGCCTCAAGCTCCTAGGCTCAAACGATCCCCCTACCTCAGCCTCCCGAGTAGCTGAGACTCCAGGTGTGTAGTCTCACACTTGGCTAATTTTTAAAATTTTTGTTGAGATGGGGTCTCACTATGTTGCCTAGGTGGCTCTCAAACTTCTGGCCTCAAGCGATCCTTCTACCTTGGCCTCCCAGAGTGCTGGCATTACAGGTGTGAGCCGCTGCACCTGGCCTGTGTACATTTGGAGTGGTAGCTTAGGATAAATTGTTGGGAGGGCAACTACAGTGTTTAAGAGAATATTTATTTTGTTCGTTTCTTGCCAAGTCAGGAAACATGAAAATGAGCTACCTGGTGACTGGTAAAATTAAATGAGCTATGCTGTAGCTCATGCCTGTAACTGCAGCATTTTGGGAGGCTGAGGTGAGCAGATCACCAGAGGTCAGGAGTTTGAGACCAGGCTGGCCAACACAGTGA